TTTCAAACCTCAGTAACTAAGAAGGACCTGAGAGCAGGCCTTGAACCAGTGCTGGCTGAGGCTGCGTTTGTGCTCTCCCAGTGGGTGCTTGCTTGGGCCGTGAGGTGAGGCAGTGAGAGCTTCCTTGATATTTCACATCCAGAGCTGCAGCCAACCAATGGCCTCATGTCTTGCAGATTAAAAAAAAAAAAAAAGGAAGGAAAAAAAAAAGCCAGAGCTGATTAATCCTGGAACCAGGAGAGCCAAAAAAGAGGGGACTTCAGGGAGGATTTAGTTAGCAGTGGCCCAGATATATCAAACTGTCTTCTGTGTAAAGTGATATCCCATTACAGCTCCTCTTTGTGTGGCACCGTTTGTGTTGCTTATCCTATTAGATGACTCACTCTGCTTTGATATATTCCACGGAGAGCAGAGAACATGCAACTCCCACGGAGACAGCCGTCTGCCTGGAGGTGACATCCATGTCCTGGCCAGGCAGGCGGGGTCCCACGAGCAGCACCTTCCAGTGGGGCATCTCCAGAGAGCCAAAGGGCTTCCTGAAAGAGTTGGCAAGGATCCAGCTGACCTGCCACACGCCACAGCACTTGCAGGGCTGTTGGTGGATACGCACTGCGTGAGGTCCAGGCTCACGGGCAATGGGTTCAGATCCCACAGGTGCTCTTCCTCTTTGCAAGTCAGACCTCATGTTTGCCTGCTTTATCCCTTCTCTTCCCTTCAATCATAGAATCATCACATTGGAAAAGACCTTCAGAATCATTGAGTCCAACCATAAACCCTTCATCACCATAACCTGCTAAACCATGGCCCTAAGTGCCTCATCTACACGGTTCTTGAACATTGCCAGGGACAGTGACTCCACCACTTCCCTAGGCAGCCTGTTCTAATGCTTGGCTACTATTTCCATGAAGAAATTCTTCCTATTATCTAATCTTAACCTCCCCTGGGCAATCTGAGGCCATATCCTGCAATGCTGGACAGGCCCTCCTTGAACAGAGAAGACAACTGCTTCCCATTGGATTTGTCCGCTTTCTGAGTGGTGTCTAAGCCCAGAATGCATTCACGTTCCTTTCTGAAGTATAGGTGGAAGAGGGAGATAATGGAGAAAACTGCTAGTTTTTCACACACAAGGAGTAGTCCTTGGCGCTGGTGGTGCCCACACTCTACGGATGTCTCCTGGCCCTCACCTCTGGGACACGTCTCCATCCACCGGTGCTCCAGGGCCCATTTAGCACATGCATTCAGCTGCCTGGGTGAGCGCCCTGCTTAACCCCCAGCTGTGCTGGAGGTTCTTGAAGGCTCTCACGGCACAAGGAGTGCGAAGAACCTCTGCTCCGTGGCCATCACAGCCAGGGCAGGAAATGCTGGGTTTAAATCCCAGTGAGGGCGATGCAATCAGAGGTACAAATGGGGAATCCAGACAGGCAGGATTCTGAAGTCTTGGGAGAGCTGGACAGATACTCTGAGTATTCACTGAGTATATAATATGGTGGTATTAAAAGGGCAGAAATACCTCCCTTTGCTAATGTGCTAGGGCTGAGATGGAACAGATAACCCTGGCCAAGGCTTGCTCTGGAGCCACACATTGCTAACCCCTCTGCACTGCACAGCTTGTGCCTCAAGGTTGTCCTCCTGGTGCGTCCCCTGGACAAGTTCAGCGTGGGGAATTGTAGCCTGCTGCCCAATGCACGTTGTGGGCCACTGGGCACAGACACTGCTTCTCTTGGGTTGCTCTAATGTTCCCTTCTAATGTTCTATGTTTCTAAACTGCCTCATTAATTTAGATTTAAAAATTTCATAAATTTATTCATAAATTTTATATATAAATTTTTGGGGAAAAAAAGGAGTTCTCAGCATCTTTTAAGCAAAATGATCTTGAACTTTGCTCACAGAAATGCTTCTTGCTTTTGAAGAGCTGACAGTGTGAGATGGTGACTAATCTCTTTACAAAATAAAGTCTCATCCCTTCTCATTTATGATTTTTATATCTCCAGGTCCTGCATCCAAGACCTGGCTTCTCCAGGAAAATAAAGAGATCTGGACAACAGACCTGCTCAACATGCTATCTGTGCGCCTGGAGCAATGCTAATGTTCATGCTGAAGGAGTGTGGGCTCTGTGCAACACTCCCTTTGAAAAAATGCACCAGAGGGAAAGTTCTATTCCTGTATCAAAGGTGCCAGCTGTCTCAAAGTCATGGCTGGAAGATGCATCCTTTCGGCAGACCATTGCCAAGGGGAAACCCTGCCTTGGGGTCAGTAGCAGCTGAGTTGGCAACTATGGGGCATTCAGCAGGCTGTAGACCCTCCTTTGTACCTATATGGATAAGATGTAGGTAGCTATGAGCCCCTTTAAACCTGGAGGTGACCGTTGTTGCCAGACACAGCACCTTTCCCTTGGCATTCAAAGGTCTCTGAGAAGGTGCTGATCTTGCAGAGGCGACTTTAAGTGGACTGAATGCAGCATTTACCCAAGCTGCTCCCCGTGTCCTCTCCCCCCTCTTCTTTGATCTCTAGTTTAAAAGAAGCATAAAAGAAGCATTTTATATCAGCTAGTGTGTAGGCAGGAAAGCTCCGCCAAATGCAGTGGGGTTCTGGAATCAGGGAACTGAGAGATGCAAAGGAGATGCCCATCCTGGGGCCATGTAACACTTTTATGCTTCATGCTTTCTTGCATCAGCACTTCATATTGGCCGTGGAGAACACAAAGCTAAGCTGCTGTTTTTCACCTTTTGGGGGAGCTTGGTGGCCCCAGGTGTGGCAGACATGGTACTTGCTGCTGGCCAGAGAAGCAAGGAAAGGGCATAGTGTGGAGAAGGCTGGGAGAAGGAACCCATGGACCTGGAGGGCACCAGGGGGCTCCTGAGATGCAGGGATGAGGATGAGGGAGTAACAGCCATGGTCAGGGCTTGGCTGAGCCCTTGCAGAAGAACAGAGCTGTAGTCGTAGCCAATTTAGTAGGGCAGAGTTGAAAGGAAAGTCAAGGTATTTCTTGAGACAAGTAGCCTTGACTTCAAAATATTTCCTATCTGTGGGAAAAGGGAAGAAAATGCTGTGATCAAATGCTGCAGCACTGTAAAAACAAACGATGTTTTGCTGAACTGATAAAACTTGGCATTCATGTCACTGAGGGGCCGTGTGTACCATGAACGCATATGAAAATTCACTGGCTCGAAACTAAAAGGCTGTTAAAAGTGCCTCTTTGGAGGATGGCCCCAGGATGACATCTGTATCATCTTATTTCTTTCATGTCCCAGGTTGGGATTTGTCTTTTGAGAGAACTGCCTTTGAGTTTGATCAATAGAGCTGGTGAGCTCCTACATCCTTGTGTTTTGCCCTTCCACACGCAGCTCTTTGCGGTGACCTTGCATGCACTCTCTCAAGGGCAGAAGCTCACCGATCTGTCAAAACGGATGGCTTAGCACACAGTTTGGGGAGGGCAGTGCCAAAATGTAGCTGCTGAGGATGCTGATAATGTACTGAAGCTTAGCACAACCACTGTACCATGATTTTAAACACTGTGTGGAGCATGTCAAATCCCTGCGAAGTCAGAAGTGGTCAGAGACACGGCGAGGAGCAGTCGGGCAGAGGAGCTGGCTGCTGCTGAGATGCAGAGCACACTCTCCAGGGATGGCCTGGGGCCAGGCTTGGCTTTTGCAGGGAAGCAGAGGGGGGTAAATAACTTCGTGTGGGTCTGCTAGGAAGCACAGGCTGCCTGGAGCGCCGCAGAGCCTGCGCTTCCCTGGGCATCTGCCTCTGCACTGGGGCTCCTCCAAGCTTGTTCCTCCTGATTCAGCTCCGAATGACTCGTGCTTGCTCCAGTGTATTCCCAAACTCCTCCTTGCCTAGGGTACCTACATTTCTTTGGGTCTCAGTGGTTGTGGGTGCTTGGTCTCCTCTAAACAGCCCAATATGAGCTCACAGCTTCATCTTTCACTTCTCTGTTCTCCTGATTTTCCTGCCCAACCCTGGGGCTTCAATGATTATCCGATCTTTGTCCAATAATATAGATAAGGAGGAAAATTGGAGAATTTGTCTTAATATTTTGAATTTTAACTCTGATTGATTGATAAAATTCTAAACTTCTTCCTCCTAGAACATTCCTTGTCACACTCTTCAAGTGCCAACACTTCCTTTCAGGATCTGTGTTCAGACCTTCCCTGGTAGTGACTATCCACAGCACGTGTATGCAGACACTGCCAATTCCTGAAGCTCACTTTCTCTCTCTGAGTTTACATTACAGGAATGTATAATCACAGGACACAAATTAGTCATGAATTTTACAATAAACCGCAGTGCCCAAACAAGGTTGCTGGAATCCAGGTCCTTGCTGGGATGAAATTTCATGGGTAAGAGTCCAAATGCCAGAACTCTTCTTCCCCATCAGGAAAGATTAAGTGATAAACTTCACAGTGCTTTAAATATACGACAAGGAGGTGCCACCTCTGATGGCTGAAGTCTCTCTAGGAGACATATATAGTGCATAAAAGCACTTAGTTTCATTCTTTGCTTGCTAATCACTTTGTCTGTGGCAATAGATTCCAGATTTTGAAAAATGGAGAATAATGAGAGGTATTTCCCTCAGTCCTCTGCCTTCTCAGCCCTGAAATCCTCAGTCCAGATGTCTCAGAGCCAGCTATTTTGGAGGTTTAAGCTTGGATTTTTCCGAAGGCTGATTACCATCTTACACATTGCTGAGTCCTGCAAGAAGCCCCTTACCATTTCTGTCACATGAAGAGCAGATCCCCGAAGGCACACGCAAGTGGAGCACGTGAAAAGCAGTCGAAGATGGTTGTCCCACTTCGCCATCTGGCAGCCAGTCTGGCCGGCCAGCTGGCCTTGGACTGCTCCTCTCAGCTGTGATGCGGGACCGGAGCCACATGCGCTTGCGGCTTTGCCCTCCGGCCCTGGTGCAGCGCTGCCTTCCCGCGATGCTCCCCGTGCCACGCGCTCCCCAGAGCTGCGGGACCGCAGGGGATGTCCCACAGCTTGCACCAGCCCGTGGCATGAGGATCTCCTGCCTGCTGTCCTTGGGCTGTGTCCCCATCCGTGGACAAACTGCACCCTCCCAGTCTGTCACCATCAACCCTGGGCACTGCAGGGAGCACGGGTCCCTCCTCCAGACCCAGGTGGGATCTGGGGAGGCTGAGGGCCTCGGCTGCACTGGAGATGTCTGGCCAGAGGAGCTCCTGCCTTCCCGTGCTGTGCCCACACGTGGCTTCTGTTAGCACCCAAATACGGGCAGCATCGCAGACCCATGGGGAATGCTCCCGGGTGGGGTCTGCCCCACTAGTGTTATATTCTCTCATGGAACAGGAACCAGCACCGTTTCTCATCTCTTAACCTGCTGTGGCTGTTTGCAGAGTGGACTCCCAGACACCAGCTCACCCCTGCCCCGAGACAACCGCTGGAGGCAGCAGATGGCATCGCTGCCCCGTAGATGTCTGCTTCTCGCCATCCTCCGTGATGGGATTCAGAGGATTGTACTGCTTGGTCAACATTTAATAGCCATTAAATTCCTCCTTTTTAAGCATTTTCTTCCACTATGACAGGTTTACACACGGCTTCAGCGCTTACGTGTTTCCATTTTCCACATCACGTCTCCAGTGTGTTTTAGGAGGAAACTAGCCAGTTCCCATGCCATGTGGGCAAGCTTACCTGTGGTGGCATTTCACTCCTGTCTCTCACTTCGTCCTTGAGGGCTCAGAGGAGGACAGGCGACACTCCCTGACGTTGAGAAGAGCCACCCAAATGTAGGAAGGGGCCATGCTGGGTCAAAGAGTTTTGTTTTGAGAACAAAACATAATCCCGATTTGTGTGTGGATGTAACTGGGCTTCTGGCAGCGCTGGGAAGTCTGACTCCTGGTGCCTGCTTCTCAGCAGGTCCCACCAGTATAGCATCAGCATTTAATTGAGCTGATCCTGCTTCTGACCTCTGGCAACTCCTTCATTCCCAGACAGACAATCTCCATGATATGAAGATATCTCCATTTTTGTCTCATAGTTCAAAGATCATTTAGCAGAAGGACCTTTTGTCCGTTCCTGCCTCCAGCTGATACTGAGGGCAGCAGGGTCAGGTTATCTGCCACTCGAGGCAGTCAATGATGTGTCTGACAACATCTCCTGATGTACTGCTTGGTATTTCTTGGCTCCCTGCACAGCATCATGCCCATAACTAGGAGGAGAAATGGGGACCGATGTCCTTCAGGAGCCTTGCGTACAAGCTCAGAGTTAAACCATAACCATGTGAAACAGGTCTTGGAAAGGCCGAGTGGCTGGTGGTGACCTTAGTGACAGGTCAGTAGCCACCTAGTTCAATGGCCAGAAGTGACTCTGAATTTTTTGTATGGAAACACTTTGATTCAGCAAGCCATGGCAGGAAGCAGAGTCCCAGCCTTTGACTTTGTTTCCATGTACATGGCAGATTTTAATTAATCCCACATTTCCGAACACTGGGAGTCATTGGCAGGGGTGAGGAAGATGCTTTTCCCTTGTTCCACCCCTCTGCATGCAGACTTTGGAGTCCTGAAGGCTTTTCCCAGTGGCAGGGTGGTCGTTACTGACCTGGTGCAGCGCTGCCTTCCCGCGATGCTCCCCGTGCCACGCGCTCCCCAGAGCTGCGGGACCGCAGGGGATGTCCCACAGCTTGCACCAGCCCGTGGCATGAGGATCTCCTGCCTGCTGTCCTTGGGCTGTGTCCCCATCCGTGGACAAACTGCACCCTCCCAGTCTGTCACCATCAACCCCGGGCACTGCAGGGAGCACAGGTCCCTCCTCCAGACCCAGATGGGATCTGGGGAGGCTGAGGGCCTCAGCTGCACTGGAGATGTCTGGCCAGAGGAGCTCCTGCCTTCCCGTGCTGTGCCCACACGTGGCTTCTGTTAGCACCCAAATACGGGCAGCATCGCAGACCCATGGGGAATGCTCCCGGGTGGGGTCTGCCCCACTAGTGTTATATTCTCTCATGGAACAGGAACCAGCACCGTTTCTCATCTCTTAACCTGCTGTGGCTGTTTGCAGAGTGGGCTCCCAGACACCAGCTCACCCCTGCCCCGAGACAACCGCTGGAGGCAGCAGATGGCATCGCTGCCCCGTAGATGTCTGCTTCTCGCCATCCTCCGTGATGGGATTCAGAGGCTTGTACTGCTTGGTCAACATTTAATAGCCATTAAATTCCTCCTTTTTAAGCATTTTCTTCCACTATGACAGGTTTACACACGGCTTCAGCGCTTACGTGTTTCCATTTTCCACATCACGTCTCCAGTGTGTTTTAGGAGGAAACTAGCCAGTTCCCATGCCATGTGGGCAAGCTTACCTGTGGTGGCATTTCACTCCTGTCTCTCACTTCGTCCTTGAGGGCTCAGAGGAGGACAGGCGACACTCCCTGACGTTGAGAAGAGCCACCCAAATGTAGGAAGGGGCCATGCTGGGTCAAAGAGTTTTGTTTTGAGAACAAAACATAATCCCGATTTGTGTGTGGATGTAACTGGGCTTCTGGCAGCGCTGGGAAGTCTGACTCCTGGTGCCTGCTTCTCAGCAGGTCCCACCAGTATAGCATCAGCATTTAATTGAGCTGATCCTGCTTCTGACCTCTGGCAACTCCTTCATTCCCAGACAGACAATCTCCATGATATGAAGATATCTCCATTTTTGTCTCATAGTTCAAAGATCATTTAGCAGAAGGACCTTTTGTCCGTTCCTGCCTCCAGCTGATACTGAGGGCAGCAGGGTCAGGTTATCTGCCACTCGAGGCAGTCAATGATGTGTCTGACAACATCTCCTGATGTACTGCTTGGTATTTCTTGGCTCCCTGCACAGCATCATGCCCATAACTAGGAGGAGAAATGGGGACCGATGTCCTTCAGGAGCCTTGCGTACAAGCTCAGAGTTAAACCATAACCATGTGAAACAGGTCTTGGAAAGGCCGAGTGGCTGGTGGTGACCTTAGTGACAGGTCAGTAGCCACCTAGTTCAATGGCCAGAAGTGACTCTGAATTTTTTGTATGGAAACACTTTGATTCAGCAAGCCATGGCAGGAAGCAGAGTCCCAGCCTTTGACTTTGTTTCCATGTACATGGCAGATTTTAATTAATCCCACATTTCCGAACACTGGGAATGCCCCCCAAAACACAAGCCAAGCCGCTGCCAACACCAACAGTGTGAAGCAGAGTTCCCCAGGGTCATATTAAAGAAGCTAAAGTGGATGCTGGCTCTTTGGTCGCCTGCTGCTGCAAGGCTTTAGGGAGCAGGAGGCACTTTCCTGATCCTTCTTCCCCAGCACAAATGATCTTTTTGTCTGAGTGGTCTAATTTATTGAGGCACCGGGATGGGTTCACTGGTCGGGTGAACGCTTCTGGGTTATGCAGGACCTGCCTGAGTCTTGGGGAACACAATGGGAAGGGGGACATGATCAGCCTGGTCTTGCTTGACAAGTGGAAAGCAAAGATGCCCCAGAGGAAAGAGAAAACAGACGCTGATTAGCCACACTGTGATCACAGAGACGGAGGCACCACCCTTTGAGAGCACTTGGCCACAGCAAGAAGTCCTGGAAGTGCCTCATCCTCCTTGGGAATGTCACAGGAAAGGCCCGTTCAGTCCCCCTTTGAGCTTCCACCCCAGCACAGGCAACAGCAGAGATAGAGCTCCCCAGGAGCCAGAGGAAAGAGCGAGGTTGGAGGAAAGTTCACCAATATTTGTGCAAAAGCAGAGGCACGAATGCCTCATAAATACACCCAAACTTATGCATAAAGAGGGAAGCAAAACTGGCTTCTCAGCTAGGGTTCAGAAAGCAGCAAAGTGTTCATGAATGGTGCTTTTCAGTGCCTTACCTTGCATGCATTGGCTCCAACCACAGAACGAGAGGAAGTTGCCCTGTCAATAAGATGGCCATAATCTCCTTGCCAGTGTAGAGATAGAGTGCATCAGTTATTGCAAGGATATCCTTGATTCCTGAGTATGATCTTCCCGACAATAAATTTTGATTTGAGAAACTTAGTCCTATTTTACAGCGCTGTAAACAGGAGAAAGGGGGCACATGCACTGCAGTAAAATTTTACCAGCGTGTGTAAATCTGTGAAAGATAGATATAATAAATATGTATTTTTTCTTTACTCAAGATATGATCTGAGGCTTCTTCTCAGAAAATTAAACACTGTTGAGATCTCACAGTTGAGAGATAAACAACTCCCTTTTGCAGATGTTCCCAAAGTCGATAAGGAAATACATAAAATGGGAAAAGTCAAGTGTAGGGGGAGAGATTTCCGTGAAGAAACAAATGTCTACAAACACTGTGGCTAGCAGCTTGCTGGCAGCGTGCCCTGGCTGTGCAGGGAACCCCAGGCACGATGGCCAGCAGAGCCCCTGAAGAGCAGGACGCTGCTGCTCGTCTGCTCCGCGCCCAAGATCCGCACGTGCAGCAGGACCCAGGGGCTTGGAGGCTGCTCCTGCTCCCAGTTTGTGCCCATCAAGGCTGTGGCTGTGGTGGGACAGCTTGTTATTTGCGTTAGGGCAGTTTATCACTGCCATGGGTGTGCTTTAAGGGTAGCCACAGCTGGACCAGCCCAGGGGCAGAGCGGCACTGCGGGAGCTCTGGGGCTTTGTGTCCTCCTCAGCTGCACAGAGACCCAGGGATTCATTGGACAACAAGACTTTCTGTGGCTGGCAGAAATAACCCAGGGAAATACTTGAGAAATGACTCCCAAAGCACAAGCCAAGCTGCTGCCAACACCAGCAGTGTGAAGCAGAGTTCCCCAGTGTCATATTAAAGAAGCTAGAGCGGGTGCTGGCTCTTCGTTGCCTGAGCACAGCCAAGATGCATGAAGGGGTCTTCCCTGACATGGAGAACAGGCACAGTGTCTGCTCAGCTCGCCTCTTCCCAGGAGGTCCAGCAAAGGCAACTCCTGATTTGGTCACTTTGAAAATGCAAGACTTTGGAACACATTTTTTTTTAGGGTTTTCTCAACCATAGCTCAAAATTAACTTGGACAAAACAATCATTTGTCAGCAGAGGTTATACTGTTCATGGCAGAGGCTTCACTCAGTGACTGCTGGTGGCAAAAGTCTGCCCCATGCACAGGAGAAGCCACAAACCGCACTATTTCTGTGGGTTCCCACCCAAGGATTGCCTCCTCCAACCTTTTGGCAGACAGTCTTTTGCTTCCTTGGGGTGATTTCCGCTCTCCTCTGAGACTGAGATAGAAATAAAAAGCCTTGTGTTTCAAAGGATCCAGTCCCAATATCCCAGTTCTTGGCATGAACCCTGGAAATGACAAGTTGGATGGTTTCTTCCATGCGTCTGGCTCTGTTTCACACCTGTGTTGCACCAGTCGAGCCATGCAGTGCTGGTTCCAGAAGAAAAGAGCAGCGTCATTGGGGTCCCTGTCCACCTCAGGGTTGGCCCAGCAAGAGTGGGTCCTGCTCAGCTTTGCAGTGCGGGGATGCGGCTGTGGAGAGAGCGGGGCTGCGGTTTTACCTTTCAAGGGTTGTGCCCGGCACATGCACCGGGAAGGAGACCCGTTACTACCTCTGAGTGCCAGCTGGTGGCAGATCCGTGGGAAGTCCTGCTTGACACACTGCGTGTATGAGCTTTACCGAGGAATTACCTGCCGCTACAGAGCTGTATTTGCCCAGTTTCTGATAAGGGCTCTTATCAGAGCAGAATAACCTCTCTGATGTGGAGAAGTGACAATTCAGGCCATTGTCCTAGAGGTGTCAGAACATTAACGTGCCCCATGGTGAGAGTGGGACGTGATCTCTGGGAGCCTCCTTGGTTGCGCTCCTCCCCTGGTGGAGGACAACTATAAATCTTGTGATCCAAAACCTACGTGAAGCAGCTTCCTAGTCTTCTGGGTGTCCCCGTGGAAGCAACATGGGTGAGTGTGAGCGTGGGGAGTGGGGCAGGGGGGCTCCTGTTGCTGTGAACAGAGCTGGAAGAACTTCCAACTTGAGCTGAAGGGCCCAGCCAAGGTACGGGCAGATCCCTACGAACTGAGTCCATCCAGAGCTGAGATAAACATCAGTACATGTGTGAGGGAGGGCAAAACCTGCAGGAAAAAGGTCAGAGTGGCCTTTCCCCATGCAAATTTGTCAGGGGACATGGAAAAAGATGTCCAATAAAGGACGATATTCCAGAAATTAAATCCGATAGCATGACTGCTATCCCAGCAGCATGAACGGCAGCAGCCTTTCTTCTGCCAGGAAAAGACGGGTTCACGCCTAGCAGATAATCACTGCTCTTTATTTCTTTATGCAGAGTCATAATTCTAGGTGTGTGTTTTAATAATTTAAGACTGAAAAAATAAGCCTGAAAAACTGAGAAAACTGCTTCCAAATGCTATCAGGGTCTATTACTGTGCTGTGCAGCTTTAAAGCCACATTTAAGTAAATGCCCATTTTTTAACGTAATTATTTGCTGCATTATTATTATTATCATAATTAATAGAATCAACATTACTCTTTCTATTTCATTGTGATTTTTTAAATTGAATTTCCCAGAGTGTGGTGGGAGGTCCTGAGAAATACCATCGCCATAGTGAGCTGAGGGACAAAAAATATTAGACAGGATTTCTTTTAAAGGTTGTGACTGATGATGAACACTTTGGCCGGGTTTCTTCAGGTCTGCAAACGGAGCTCTCATATTTGCCTGACTTCGCTCTCCAAATTTCTAGAGTACCTTGGTCCCTAGTAGGATACTGAGAAAAGGAACAAGCCTAGCTACAAAATGTGTGTCAGAAAAGCAACCTCTATACCATGGTCTTAGGGCAACAGGCAGCACATGGGGATGCGAAGGTGTTACCAGACTGCTAATCACCACTGCGTGTTTCACACCTGCAGTGGGATGTTCTGTTTCACCCCTGTCCTGTCCCTTCACCCCGCAGCGGCCCAGTGCTCTCCCCTCCTGCTCCTTGCCTGTGTGCTGGCTCTGCCTGCCCCATTTCTCACCACGACCGTCCCAACCCCAGTCGCGCTCCAGCAATCCGTCACGAAGAGCAACGCGCTTCTGCGGAACACCTTGGTGAATGGTAGGTGCATGGAAGGGCTCCCCGCGCGCTGCTAGGAGCCGCTCGGAGCAGGTTCCCTGCTTTGGGGAGGGCTGCGGCCGAGCGGGGCTCCCAGCAGAGACCGGCAGCTGGGGAGGGGGCACACGGGGGGCCCAGGGCACACGGCACCTGTCCCTTCTCCAGCACCCTGTTGGGATGATGAGAGCTGGCCCTGAGAGGAGATGGGCTCTGGGTCTGTCTAGACAAGCGGCCCACACCTCTGGTTACGGAGTGAGCGGGAACTGCTCAGGAAGCAACACAAGCTGCCCCAAAGCGTCATCTAAATTCAGGCCAAGTCTCTGTAGAGTCCCCACTTGCAGAAGTGGCACTTTCAGCTGTCCCAATCCTGCCATGTCAAGTGGAGAAGGATGTCGCTCACAGGCATTTCTGCCCATTTGTCGATGCACAGAATCATGGAGGATTTGTTAGGTTTCCCTCACAGAGCCAAGGCTCTCCTTACCCACGTTTCCTGTCCTAGGTGAGGACAGGAGGGACATGTATCATGAAGAAGGAAGGAGAAGAAAGGAAATGTTCCCATGCCAGCAGATCCCCGAGCATTTTTGCCTGTCTCTAAGAACTAGAAAAATAGTCTTTCCTGAAACATGTTTATCTGAGGGTATTTTGCCAAACTCATAATTCCCTGGCTCACCCTTGTTCCCCGCATATTGGCACTCCCAAGAGGGTGAAATGTTCCGCAGGTCTGGAAGAGGAAGAGCTAAAGCTGATTGCTTGAGGGCATCTTGTGTTAACACCAGACTCAGTGTCTGGGGCCACATTAAATCAAAACCATCTGGAAACGGAAACTCCAGCAGACAAAGGCTCCTGACCACCTTCATCCTGTCAGGAGCAAGAGCCAAGGTGTAAAGGCCCTGCATCTTATTGCAGGGGCTCCACTCCTTGAGCTGTATGTCACTTCATGACTTGGGGGGAGGACTCTCTCTGGTGCCTCCATGCCATTTCTAGATCTTCTCCCTACCTGTTATTTCCAGGTCAGCTCCGGCTGGTGAATGGCTCCAATGAGTGCTCTGGACGGGTGGAGATTTGGTACCAAGGTGCCTGGGGGACAGTGTGTGATGATGCCTGGGACCTGAATGATGCCACTGTCGTGTGTAGGCAACTGGGCTGTGGAGATGCAGTATCAGCCCCAGGTTCTGCTTATTTTGGGAGAGGATCCGGGTCTATCTGGCTGGATGATGTTAACTGCAGTGGAAAGGAGCAGTTCCTCACTGAGTGCAAACGGAAGGCATGGGGAGAACACAACTGTGTTCACAACGAGGATGCAGGTGTTGTGTGCTCAGGTGAGGATGGTGTGTGCAGTACCCTGTGCTCCTTAAACAGTTTTCATTTACACCTTGCAGAACTAGCTACAGGATGACTACAGGATATCCTCTGGCCTGTTGCACATGATCTTATTAAATCCTCTCTCTTGCCCTAGGTTGGCCCAAGGACTGCAGCGAGATCCCTGCTGGCAGACCCAGTGGTGTCTACATCATCCAGCCCACGGGACTTCACCCACTTGTGGTGTACTGTGAAATGAATGTGACCGACGGGGGCTGGACGGTCATCCAGAGGAACCGGCATAACACAGCGATCACCTGGGCCGAGTCCTGGAGCACCTACAAGTACGGCTTTGGGGACGTGCAGAGTGACTACTGGCTGGGCATGGAGTACATCTATCAGATTGCCAAGCAGAAGTTCTACCAGGTCAAGTTTGTTATCTGGGATGCCACAAATGCCACCAAGTTCGCAGACTACAATTTCTTCAGTCTGGAAGATGAATCCCAAGGCTACCAGTTGAGACTGGGCTCCTACATAGGGACTGCAGGGGATGCCATGATCTCCAGCACTACCACCACTCTGCATGACAACATGAAGTTCTCTGCTAAAGACCTGGATCAGGACACTAGCACTGGGAACTGTGCCTCCACCAATGGGGGTGGGTGGTGGTACTCAGCGTGTTACTCTGTACGGCTGAATGTCAAGGGTGGCCTGACATGGGGTAGCCTGTGCCGTGGGAATTGCAAGGCTTCTGCCATCCTCATCAAACCATCTCCCTACTGTTGGTAATTCCATGTCTGTCTGCACTGGGCACGTGGCCAGAGGATTCCTCCGCTGGGTCTCTCTTTCCTGCCTGGGAGCGGAGTAGCTGAAAGCTGGGGAGAGCCCTGGGCTATCAGGAGATTTTCTGTTGCCTCTTCTGCAGAGTTTCTCTGCTTTCCTTTCTCAATTCTTCCTCTTTGGTTTGTTATTACTTTAATTGTTTTATAATCAAGCTAATAAACTGCAAAACTTGTATGTCTGGAACCTTCCTAATATGGAGAGCAAAATGTGATTAGAAACATAATACCTGGATGGGTTTCCATGGACATATCCAGAGAAAAAGGTCACTATTCCTAGCTGTATAATGCAGCAGGACCTTGAGACCTACACCCAGAGATGTTTTTGCGCACACTGGGTCTTTCTTCTGCAGTTTTTAAATCCTTCAGTGAAATCCCCTTTCTAAAAAACATCTCCCACTTGCAAGCATTTTTTCCATATTTCTGAAATGCTCATCTAGCTGATATGGGACTGGGCAGCCTTCTCACCAAAAAAGTACATGGGGGAGTAATCAAAGCAGGAATTAATGTAAAAGACACCTCTACATTTATGTGAAATTGTCAGCAAAAAAACTCCATGAGCTTTGACCTTCTCTTCCCATTAGGCCCGAGAAAGTTCAAAATGGCCTTTCTAAGGGATTAGACTGGCCCCACAGCTCTGCTCCTCAACAACCACCCAAACCCGAGCTTGTGTGGGGCCAGCAGGACAGGGCTGTGATTGTCCCAGCTGCTCCTGTCGTCTCTGCAGCTCCTGCCCCACTGTCCCCAGCCAGAGTCCTGCCCTGTGGCTCTCCCCCATTTCAACCCCTTGACCCACAGCCTCAAAGCTTGGGGCACTGAAACCCCCAACCCAAGGACCTATCCCCTTCTTCTGGTGGACTCCACGTACCAGCCCTGCCGACGGATCCCCCTTGGCGCAGACCCGTCTTGGCAGCCTCAGCACCCTGCCACGCGCAGGACTCCTCAGGGGCGCCCTGACCCACTTGGACCTCACTGCAGAAGAGGGTGATGATTCCAACTCTCCAGCCATGGTGTGGCGCAGGGCAAGATGAGGGGAGCAGCAAAGGGAAACCTGTGTGAATGCAGTGCCCTCCCCAGCCCCGTCAACCCCCTGTGCCCAGGCAGAGCTGTCCCCTCTCTGTGCACATGAACAGCGTCACCACAGCAGACAGACACAAATTCCAGAGTTTATTATAGCTGATTTGTCCCACCGCGTCTAGCAGAGTTGTTTGGTTTATAGGGCTTGGGGAAGAAGCAGGGCCTGAGCGAAAGCAGGGAACGTTAGGATTGCGCAGGGAAGGGGACTTGCGCTGGCTTCCCTTCCCCCAGACGAGGAGTGGGGCACCCACCCCAGAGCAGTGCTTGGATTCCAGTGCTGGCACCATCGGGGCACTGGGAAAGGCTGCAGACAGGGCGACAGCCACGTGAGCCCCAGAGCTGCCGTGTTTCACTCCGGTGACACCGCGGGAGCTGCAGGCAGGGCAAGAGCTGTCCCAGTGCTGGCACTGGACACTGGTGCTGGCACTGGAATGGGGCACCGTGTCGGGGGTGGTGGCCAAGCTCCCAGGAGGCTCTCCAGCCCGCTCAGCACACATCTGTGGGTTTCACCAGGATGAGGGAAGATGTGCAGTCACCCCTACTGCAGACTCCCGGCCATACGATGTAGCCCTTGGCATTGAACAGCATGCTTTGACAGTTATTATACCACCACCCCCCATAGCTGTTGGCACAGTTCCCGCTGGCCTGGTCCTGGTCCTTATCAGTGGTACTGAACTTCATGTTGTCATGTATGCCCCCATATCTGCTGTTGTAGGTGGTCAGATAGTCCTCGCCCTCACCAGAGAACCTGCCCAGCCTCAGAGGGTACCCGCTGGCCTCACTCTCCACGCTGAAGATGTTGTACTCAGCGTAGTGGGTGACATTGGACTTATCCTGCACGACGAAGCGGACCTTGTAGGTGTTCTGCTGCGTGAGCAGGTGCAGGTACTCAGTGCCCAGCCAGTAATCTGCCCTCACGTTCCCAAAGCCGTACTTGTAGGTGGTCCAGGACTCCTTCCACGTGATCTCTGTGCCGTAAGTATTCCTCTGGACAACAGTCCAGCCCTTGCCTTCGGTGTCCATGTCGCACCAAACCACCCGTGGGGTAGACCCCGCTGGCTGGATGACATAGACCCCACTGGGGCTGCTGCTGTGAAGGCGGCTGCAGTCTGCGGGGAACCCTGCAACAGCACATCAGACATGAGGAATCATGCTTGGAAAAAAAGGTTTAATAAGCTGTTCTAGCTTATTGATGGTGGTGATGAAAACTGTTGAGGCTGCTGATAAAAGCCAGGTATTATACAACTTTACAGCTTAGATCTCAATGCAGAGATCTGCTGGCTGTGAGCATGGAGACCCTTCCACACAGCACCTGGGGTCCTGCCTGTGCTCCCCGGCGTGCAGTGCACCTGCATGACAAACCTCATGTTGTGCAGACTGCAGAGAGAAACGGCGCTGGCACCGGCACTCACCGCTGGGCAATCCTGCAGCAGATGCTGCTGGGCTCGCGCAGAAGAGAAGCATCACCACCACCACGGGCAGGAGGGCAAGGCGCATCCCAGCTTGGAGCCCTGCAGAGGAAACAAACCGGCACCATGAGGATCCTTGGGGCAGTCCCTGCTCGTCCATCCCCTGCCAACAACCCCCAGGAAACCCAAAACAAGGGAGATTGGAGGCCTAGGGGACAAGCAGAAGCAGAGGCTCCCTGGGGCTTTGTTGCCCTCTGGATCCAATCCTTCCCTGTCCCACAGAGCAAGCTGCAGCCATATTTTCTCATGTTTCTCCTAAATTATGTTGTGGGTTTTTTTTTTGTTTTTTTGTTTGTTTCATAAATGGCTAAAGGCCAAAGATTATGTTTATGGGAACAATTACTGCATTAAAGGCATTCAGGACAAATAGTTCAAAGAACTGCATTTGAGTGGCATATAAAACTGGTCCTCTGGTGAAGAGCATGCAGTTCACACGGATGAGGAAACAACAGAGCAGCACCATCACAGAATCCGCAAGGAATGGCTTGGTGGAAACAAAAGCTCTAAGACCTTCATCAGCCCTCATCAGCACAGGCGCCCATGCTCCCCTGCCGCTGTCACCTCACCTTGTACTTCTGCTTGCACCTTCTACCCAGGGCAAGCCTGAGCCCCCCGCTGCGAGCACTGCAAAAGGAGCCGTTAGGAAGGTCAGAACTCACCCATGGTCACGGTGCTGCCGAGCGGCTGGAGGGAACCTGAGTAGTGAGTCCCGCTGCTCTGAACTCCATGCAGTGTCGGTCCCTTTATAACTGTGCTCATCTCTATACACACCCACCTGGTGTTAGGATCTCAGTTCCCTTGTTTGCATGGAGAAAATTTATCATTGTGTGCAGATGTGACGGCTTCTCTGTGCTCTCTTTGTTCAAGATAGCACAAATAATATATTTAAGTTTCTTCTAAGAAATATAAGAATGTTCCAAACTCTCAGCTGTGGAGCATTTATCAACCGCAAACAACTGGACCTGCCCAGGAATTAAGCTTTTCTGGGAATCTACCAGATGCTGCAGGGCAATAAAGGAGTAAAAGGAGAGGGGAAAGTCAAACAGGAAAGAAGGAATGTGGGTTCTTAAGAAAAGTTTCATATCATCTGGATATCAGTGACTGTTAAAAGCTACCGGCAATGGTTTGTCAATAGTTGCCAATGAATAGCACATCATGATCATTCTGTGATGGCCTGACCTCTTTCTTGGTCTCTTTAGCAAACAACAGGTCAGCCCCAGCTGGGATGCAGACACCGGCCCCTCATTTATCTGCTCTTTGGAGAGCCTGAGGGCTGAAGGTAGCCACTGTCCCTGCAGTTTATCCCCTAATAGGTTGACTGGAGCCCATACCCTTCCCTACGCTTCCCCCATAGGCCTGCATGTTCCCTGCATGGGAAGAAGTAGGCTCCGGAAGGCTCTGTTGATGTCCTGCCCTTGCGGTACATGGGATGGGCATTGCCCTGGTAGCCTGATCCAGGCTGGATGCTATTTGGGAGAGTGTCTAAAATGCACGCCCAGGGTCTGCTCGTGAACCAGCATTTATGACTCCAGCTGTCAAGACCACATATGTAAGGTGACATTTTATTTGTGTCAGGCAAATTAAATAGGGGTAGTTTGGCAAGTCCTCTCAAAGGTTTTGATGATATGTCTCCTCCTGGTTCCCCTCTTCTTCTCGCACCTCCTCTCATACAGTGCACAGTAAGCCATCAGCAGCTCCTCACTCGGTCCCCGCTGCCTGACCTTGGTCTGGCTGTGCTGTTTGTCTCTTTTGTGTTTCTTGAGTGTCTCTAGCAGTGTGTTTTTATGTGCCTGCAGCACTGTATAGTTTCTCTAACATGATGCTTCCCTTATGCAGCAGCGCACACTACCACACACACGCCTGATCTGAGGGCAGGGAAGGAGCAAGGGGCAGATGTCTACCCTTATCGACATGGGTGGCCCAGTCCCAGGCCTCTCACAGGCTGTCCTCAGCCTCTGAGCCTCCTTCCGCAATTCATAGAATCAAATAATCCTTAAGGTTGGAAGGGACCTCTAGAGATCATCTAGTCCAACCCCCTGCACACACAGGGTCACCTAGAGCACGTGGCACAGGACTGCGTCCAAGTGGGTTTGAAGATCTCCAGAGAACGAGACTCCACAACCTCTCTGGGCAGCCTGTTCCAGTGCTCTGGCACCCTCACTGTTGAGAAAGTTTTCCTTCAGTTCCTGTGGAACTTTTGGTGCTTCAGTTTGTGGCCATTACCTCTAGTTCTGTCAGTGGCCACCACTGAAAAGA